CTTACCAAACTCTTTGGGATATATAAATAGGCGTTCAGTGGGTTTCAGATTGAAGTTAAATTTTGTGCAAAAGGACATTCTAAAATTTAGGTAATAGTAATCAGGATTGTTTTTCAGGATTCTTTTTACTTATGAAATTTTTGATAAACAGATATTGTTTGGGTTAAAATAATGTGTTTAAATGGCCTAATCTATAACAAAGTTTTGTATAAAAAATGTGACAGCATCAAGTGTGTTTTAAATATCCTACTATTACTTATGCCACTATCAAGGATCAGAGTATATTAGAGCTCTAAGAGGCTTTGAAGCTAGTTTAATTCAATCTAAATTTATAGATGAGACAATTTACTGAATTTACACACGTGGTTAGTGGCATAGTTGACCACAGGTAGGTCTTTTACTTCCCTGTCCACTGCTTTTTTGGACAGAAAATTAAATTTATGAAATTTTAGAGGTAAAATGGGCAGGGAAGCCTGAGAAAAGTATGTGAGTTCTAAACCTAGCTAGACTTCATTAGTTCTGAGATGTTGGACTAGGTGTTCAACCTCTCATCTCAGTCTTGGGAGGATTGGACTTTAAGGCCCCTTGCAGGCCTGTGACTGTACTCAGGAGAGGAAATTGACATAGATATAGATTCTTCCTATTGTACATTTGTGTAGTTTCAATTTGAGTCTCATTTCAAGTAAATATTGTTCCTATTTTTTAGTAGGAGTCACTGGTATTTTTTGTTTGTGAATCAACTTTTCCGAAGCGTACTGTTGTGAGACACAGGTTTTTGTCAGCATCATGGTTGCCTCTGTGTTCAGGTGCCTCTAGCATTACCTTGACTAACTGACGTAAACACATTCAGAGGCAGGTGTCCCCTAGCTTCAAACTGGTGAAAGGGTACCGCAAAGCAATGCCCCATAGACAGGTAATTGAGAAGTGCTTCTTTCACGATGTTGCTCACAGTATTTCTCTCTCTGTGTCTCTCTCTGTCTGTCTCCCTCTCAAAAAAGAATAGCTAAAGAACTGATTTGAATTTTATTTTGGGAGAGTGCAAGGGATGTGGTTGGGCTGTGTTAGGACATAGGCTTGGGAGTTGGGAAATGACCATTGTATGTTTTAAGGTGGCAAATAAGGTACTACCCTATGGTAGTAGAGCCTTTTTTATACGGAAAATTTTAAATCTGTAGAAAAATTGTACTCTGAACACATACGCTGTTCTTCTGGATTAATTGTTAACTTTATAGCCGTACTTGCCCCCATGCTCCATGTATGTATGTATGTTTTGAGTCAAATGTGGTATGTATATTTGTATTACTTTCTTAACCACTTGAATATAAGTTGCAGAAACCATGACATTTCACTTTTAAGTACCTGCTGAAGAGGACTTTCCTTAGTATAAACACAATACATTATCATACCCATGAAGTTTAGGATTGATATAATAACATGGTCAAATACATAGAAAACATTTAAATTTGGGGGTAGAAAGTGTATTTATTTGTTTTTTTTAAATCAGGTAGATTTGTCTGGCACAATGCGTGTTGAGTGAATTGGTGGAACAAGAAACTAGAGCACATATTTAACAAGTCAGATACAGCCATCAAAATAGAAAGAGAAAGCTTATTAATATTCTGATATGCTGTATTCTTAAAGCTACAATCTTAAATAAAGACAAGGCATAGAAGAGTGTAGAAGAGTGTAAAAAATTTATAAACTGTGTGTGTGTGTGTCTGGAAGGATAAAAAATGAATTAACATTTTATGCCTTTCAGAGAAGGAGGCAGGGAGCTGGAAGACGGAGACTTTTCCCTGAATACCCTCTTTTACCTTTAAACTATTTGAATATATTACTTATTCAAAAGTAAATAGTAAATAAGCAAGCATAGACTTATGTTGATACTATTATTAGCTTTGTAGCAGGTAGGATAATACTTCTCTTTATGTCCTAACGAAATTTGGAGAATGGGACCTGAAACAAAAGGTGGAGGAAAATACTCTTATTTAATTTTGAAGGAAGATTTGCTTTTCTTGTGCCACTTATTGAAAAAGAATGTTCATGATATAAGAAGATATTTTTTCAGGAGCGGCTGATGTGGAGAGGAGGGACTTGATGGGGGCCTGATATTCAGGAAGGCTGGGAATTTCACTGAGAAAAGCAGAAAGGAAGATGGTGTAGGACAGTGTTTGGCAAACTGTGGCTCGCGAGCCACATGCGGCTCTTTGGCTCCTTGAGTGTGGCTCTTCCACAAAATACCACATGCAGGCGTGCACGTACAGTGCGATTGAAACTTCGTGGCCCATGCACAGAAGTCGGTATTTTGTAGAAGAGCCACACTCAAGGGGCCAAAGAGCCGCATGTGGCTCGAGAGCCGCAGTTTGCTGACCACTGGTGTAGGAGATTATATATTCCTCTTGGAGTAGAGCAGCGACTTTCAATCTTTTTCATCTCATGGCACACATAAGCTAATCACTAAAATTCTGTGGCACACCAAAATATTTGTTGCCAATCTGACAAAAAATAGGCATAATTTTGATTGACTTACAAAAAAATAGTAATTACTCTTTTTACTCCAAAGTGACTTAAAAAAAAAAATCAGGTACTTATACTTGTATATAAGGATTTCTGGTACCAAGAATTAACCAATCAGATGCAACCTTATTATGTGATGTGACCAATAAGATGCAACTCTATCATGTGACCTATATATTTATGGTTCAAGATGGCATTCGCACTGGATGGCTATTGTTGTGTTGGCTGTTGTCATCTTTTTATTGACTAAACTAAAGTCCTGGTGCATGAAATTTTGTGCACTGGGAGGGGCTCTCAGCCTGGCCTGCACCCTCTCACAGTCCAGGAGCCCTTGAGGGATGTCAGCCTGCCATGAAGGCAGGAGAAGCTCCCGCCACCACCACTGCACTTGCCAGCAGTGAGCCCAGCTTCTGGCTGAGTGGTGCTCCCCCTGTGGGAGCGCATTGACCACCAGGGGGCAGCTCCTGCATTGAGTGTCTTTCCCCTGGTGGTCAGTGCACGTAATAGCGACCAGTCTTTCTGCCATTAGGTCGATTAGCCTTTTACTATATAGGATTATATAGGATAGTCAGGTATTGCAAGTTTTAAAAATTGTGCAATACTAGTTGAAAATCATGGGATAAAGGATAATATTTTTCTCCTCTAAGACAGAAACAAGAATAGAATTTTGTAGTTTCAGTAGAAAAGTACAGAAGATGGCAAATGGGACTCAGAATTTACACTTCATATATATTCATACCTTTGATGATAAAAGATAAGTATGTTTAAAAAGCTGCTAAAAGAAAATTAATATTTAGGAGTAATGTCTGGCTATTTTCTTGATATTTTTAAAAAGACAGATTCTTGGGTTTTATATGAAAGATTATATGGAAGTTAAAAGAAAACCTCGAGTAAATATTAGTAAATTATTTCCATTTGATAGCTATTTGATTATTTTGTATGGTAGTTCTTATATAATTATATGGTGAACTTATGATACTTATCCTTAAAAATTGATATTTTGCAGTGTTTCGAAATATGTTGCATTAATTTCGGAGTTAAGTCAGACACAGTTTATTTTCTGTTTTCATAAGATTAACACAAAGTTATTGATTAGTACTGAGTGCCTTTTCTCTTGAAGGCCAATGTTTATTAATCAGTGAGTGTTGAATTGCTCCCAGTGTCTGTTAGGCATCCTTGGGTTAATGGAGACAGATGATCTGCCCTTGACAGATGCTTCTGGAAACTTAACATTTCAACAGTGGAAGTTAAATTCCTGTTAGGGAGGGAAGCCACTGACTGCTCAGGCAGGTAGGCAGGCAGGCCTTTAGGAGCCAGAGGAATTCTTCACTGTTTGATCAGGTGTCCAGGATGGGACTTTGCAGGTGAAGAAATTTGATTTTATCAGTTCATTCAGAGTTGATGGGGATTGTGAAACTCAATGAAGCTAACCAAGCTAAGCAAGCTTACAGTCAGAGAAAGACAAATATCACATGATCTCACTTATATGTGGAATCTAGTGAACAAAATAGATCTAGAGACATGAAAGCATACAACAGACTGAAGATTCTTAAAGGGAAGGGGAGGGGGTGGGAAGAGATTAACCAAAGAACTTATATGCATATCTCCATGACCCATGGGAACGGACAGTAGTGTGGTGAAGGCCTGGGGAGGAGGTGGGAGTCAGGGATAGGTGGTCAGTGGGGAAAGAAAAGGGGACATCTGTAATACAACAATAAAGATAAATTTAAAAAATTAAAAAGTTGCAAAAAACCATGAGGATAATGCAGAGAACAACTATTTTTACTTAGATTCACTTAACATTTTCCCCATTTACTTTATCATTTACGCATATTTTCTTGCTCTCTCTATATTTATGTATGTATATGTATATATATTTTTTGAATCATTGAATATATATGTGTGTGTGTGTGTGTGTGTGTGTGTATATATATATATATATATATATATATATATATATCATGGCCCTTTACCCCTAAATATTTCAGTGTATATTTCCTAAGAATAAAAATATTTGTATTGATATTCTTAAAATATTTTCATCTAATCTACTATCTGTATCACAGCTTTGTCGGTTGAGGTAAAAAAGTCCTTTATTCTTTGTCCTTTATCAGATTGATATTTTGGAAGATGAGTCTTTTTTTTTATATTAGAAAGTTTCTCAATTTGTGTTTGTCTGATGTTTCCTCATTGTTAGATTCACAGTATGAATTCTTGGCCAGAACTTTACTCCCCCCCTAATTTTTTAAGCTTATTCTTTTTCTAAATTAGGAAGTTAACACGGATAACACGGATGCAATAATATTATCTAAATACAGAATCCATCTATTATTTCAAAATGTTTTTTTTTAAGTATCTTTTTATTGATTTCAGAGAAGAAGGGAGAGGGAGAGAGAGAGAGAAACATCAATGATGAGAGAGAATCACCGATGGGCTGCTTCCTGCACATCCCTCACTGGGGATTGAGCCCACAACCCGGGTATGTGCCCTTGACCAGAATAGAACCCAGGACCCTTCAGTCTGCAGGCTGATACATCAATGATGAGAAAGAATCATTGGTTGGCTGCCTCTTGCACATCCCACACTGGGGATGGAGCCCACAACTGGGCATATGCTGTATATTTTTTGATGTCTTATTCTGTACCCAAATAAGAAATGTCTATTTGTTAAAATCTTCATTTGTGCCTTTTTAAGAATGTTTTAAAAGTTTTTCTCAGATGGGTTTTACATAGTTGTTGTTAAATATTTTATTTTCTTTGTGAAACTTGCTTTTATCACTTATTATATAATGGAGATCTGGCCTGTACATGCAGGTCAGTACATGCAAACCTATTTAATTCTTAAAATGGATCCATGGTCAACCAATGAACTTGTATGCATATATGTATAACCTGTGGACACAGACAACGGGGTGGTGAGGGCCTGAGGGGGCGGGAGGACAGGAGCAGGCTGTAAGAGGCTTATGGGGAGAAAGGAGGACCTATGTAATACTTTCAACAATAAAGATTAAAAAAAATAAAAATAAAATGTATTCATGATAATCCTTGTGCCCTAATTTAATTTTTCTCTGCAGATGTATTTCATGTTGCTTCCGATTTATCCCTGTTATGCCCAGTACTGAGGAAAATACCCTTGTACCTATATTCTTGCTTGTGTTACTGTATCTGTAAAATAGATGCCTGGAAATGGAATTGCTTAGTCATAGACCATGTATATATGTCTTTGGTGACATATTCTACCAAGTTATCCTCTCAAAACTATTTGACGCTTTTAAAATCAAGTAAACTTTATTGTATATGTTCGTTGTTAAAAGACATTCAAAATTTTGTTTGAAAGAAGCCTCATGAAAGTTAATTCTAAACAAAAAGTGTGTATCTATTTGTCCATTCATATGGGGAATCTAAAGAGAGCAAAAGCATGATTTACACCTTACCTAACTTAAATACAGTTTTGGAAATCAGATATATATTTACTTATATGTATTCAACAACAGAAAAACTTCACTGGTCAGTAGACTTTGAATTTAGACTAAAAGTATTGAGTGTAGTTTAGGGGAGAGAGTCAAGAAGGACACTTCCTGGGGGATTGGCGTGGGCTGACGTCGAGGCAGAGTTTCACCGTGTCATGTGGGCCCTCAGACTGAAGCAGTGTGCCTGTACTCAGAGATAAAGTACGGACAGTTGGTGGCAGACCTGGAGCTCCGTAAAGGTGTGGATTTGGTCCCCTCGGCGGCAGAGGGCTCTTCTGATTTAGTACTCTATTGCCGGGTAGCAATTGACCCCCCACATTCAGTGCTCAGAACACCCAAACACATGTATGATCTCTTAGCAGTTTCTATGGGGCAGGGACTTGGGCGCAGGCAGCACTGTTGCCACCTTCTGTTCCTTAGAAGCAAGCCAGTGCGTCCAGCCCACATTCAAGGGGAGGGCACCGGGTTCCTCCTTTCAAGGAGGGGGTGTCGGGGTCTGGGAACACATTTTAAAACTACCACACTGGGTTCTTAAGGAGAGGCTCGATGGTACGATTTTGAAAAGGAAAAAAGCATGGTGTCCAGCAGAAGATTAATGTGGTAGCAGTGTCAAAGATGACCTGAAGAAAGGGGGACGTGGGAGGGAGGGCTGGTGAGGCAATCCCCAGTGAGGTAGTGATGGAGTCGTCCAGGGAGATGCGAGAGGGACAAGGCAGGGCACAGGAGGGGTGCAGCGGAATGAGAGAGAGGGAACGAGAGGCGGAAATCGTCTCAAGGTTTCCAGGTCTGAAGAACGAACGATCAGGCATGTAATAACTGGAAAGAGAAACCAGTTTTTGGTTTTAGACATTTAAGGGGGGAAATTCCCAAGCAGTTGAAACTATAGAACCAAGGGCTCCAGTTGAAATGTCGAGCCAAAGAGAGAAAGTTCACATTTGTCATCCAAAAATTTTTGTGGGATGAGTCCGCAGAGAGGCCGGAGCACGGAGGCCCCGGCCTTTGGGGGAAGCCGTGGTCTGGAGCATGATGAGCAGGAGCTAGATCTGTGTTCCTGGCAGGAAGGAGGAGGTGGACCGATGCCGAGCGTCACGTGTTACAGAATCTGAAGAGAATGATGTTTGAAATGCATGCATTTGCCTGTCAGATTATTAGAGGTGACAGCGCTTTAAGTGGAGTAGAACAATTTTGGAAATTGGATTATAACATTTAATGTGATGATTCACTTTCTAAAAAGTGCTGGAGGTGGGAGGATGAGTGGCTGGCACGCCTTCCATCACAGCTTTTGAGATCTTACACCCATCTCGCTTCCTTTTAGCACCACCGAGCCTCCCTGGAATGGCACTGCTACTCCGTTCTCAGCTGGAGGGAAGAAGTAGGATTTTGCCTCTTGTTTTCAGGGAGTCATTTAACAGTAAGTGAAATTAACTTGATAATTTTTTTTAACTTCACCTGTTGCTATTCATTACTCTTACCTGTACTCTCCCCCGAACTCTGTTAGTATGACTGTTCCAGATCAGATATCAGATGAGGGATCACCTATTTTTTTCTCTCCCTTACCTCCCAGTTTCAAGCATACTTCGATTATTGATATGCTTTGTTAATTGAACTTGTAGGGATGCAATTAGTATTTAGTAAATATTAAAGTTAGCAACTGGCAAATCTAAATTAGTAACTGACAGATGGATTTTATCTTTTGTATCTATACATGTATTTAATCAGTTTTCAATGAGTAAAATAATTGTTAGGAAGATGTAGCAAAAACAAGAAAATAGTTTAAAAAATCACTTTATATGGCCTAGTATATTTCAAAATTTCTATAAGAATTTGAGATTAAATGGGCCAAAGGATTATGTAGTGAAACACTGACAAAACCAGAAATTAAATCTTGAGTGTCCTCTGCTACATGGTTAGATGGTGGTGTTTTTTTCTGACAGGTTATTTTCCTTTAAGAAAAAAACTTTAGGTCCACCAAAGACTTAAAGAAATGAAATCAGCGTAACAACAGTAACTGTGGTTTCAAATTAAAGGGTAAACTCTATGCTGGAAAAAAAGAGCTGCTGTTATCAGTTCTTTTTAGCACAAAAAGATATGCTTGTTCTTGGCAACCTCATCTTTGAATAAATAGGGGCCTTGCTTGATGTCGCTTAGTTCTGCAGTGTGCCTGGGGGAGCTCTGGCCCAGGTGAAAGGGGTCAGAGGGCGGTGGGAAGGGAGAAGGGGCGTGAGGAAAGGCTGAGAGGTTTTGGCTCGGATAGCACAGAGGTAAGTGAAGGTGGCGTGACAAAGAGCGTCGCTGACTCTACACATGTCAGTACAGCCGTGGAGGTTCTCACGTGCAGTTTTCATTACACATGTTAAGCCTTTTCTTTCTGTCAGTAGGTGTGAGAGGGAGGAACAGAAAAAAGAGTGAGAAAGGGTGTCTCGGGAGATCACCGATTGTGTTGTTTGTTTTCACAACTCAGGAGCTGGATGTATTTGCAAAAATTACAGCATGACTTTTACTCGTCTGTGGGCATCTGACAAAAACTTAATGTGGTTAATTGGCGTATTTTCCTTTTCCTGTTTCCCACCCATCCGGTCCTGTCCTCTTTCCCTTACATTCTCTGGAACTCACTTCGGGCACCGTCAGTCCCAGAAGCTCCCTCCAGTGGCCTCTTCTGTTCCCAGGGCCCGACACTGGCTGGATTAATTGTCCTCCTCCCCGCCTCTCTGTCTCCAGAATGGCCTGGAATCACTCTATCACTGGGCTTCCACAACTTGTCATGTGAACGTGTTTATGAGCTTGTTTGCCCTACTACACTCTGAGTTCCTCAGTAGGTGGGGCCAAGCCTTACTCCTCTGGGTATCCCACATCTAATAAATGTTGAATAAACAGACGAGTGCTTTCCCTGTGCCTTGTGGTAGACACACCACGGTCCGTCAGTGTGGCAGTGAAATCACCGAGCTTTGATGGCTAGGAGATCTGTGACTAGAGAGAGATACCACACGGGCCTTGAAGAATCGGGGGTGGACTGCAATGAGGAAGGCACAGATCCTGGTCTCCAGGTGCTCCACTGAGTAGGTCCGTGAGGGCTGGGGTGCAAGAAGCCAGTCAGCGGTGCAGTGTGGTGAGCGTTGCCGCAGAGGCCTCTCGTACAAGCGCCCGGAAAGCATGGGATGCATTTGACCTGGGGGGGCCTGGGAAGACTGGCCTTTGAGTTGAGTCTTCAACTACTTATGTAGTTGCTCACCTTTCGGAGGAGAAGGAGGAGCATCTGGCAAGCTGTAGAGGTATGAGGATCCCTTTTTGAAAAGCTGAGAAGGAACATTTGAAGTTCATGAGTGTTGAGGAGTGGGGAAATGAGATGGGAAGGAGCCGTGTGTGTGTGTGTGTGTGTGTGTGTGTGTGTGTGTGTGTGTGTGTAAAGCTGGCAGCTGGTCTTTGCCCCGGTGGCTGTGAGGAACCATTGGCAGTTTTTAAATCAGAGGAATGGCACAGATTCGCATTTTAGTAAAATGTCTCAGAACAGTGTGAAAATTGGACTGGAAGGGAATAAACTAAAGAGAATAGACTGGTTAGGAGACCAGTGCAACAACAGTCCAGATGAGTGAGGTGAAGGGCCTGGATTGAGGGAATGGAGATGTGGAAGAGAAGAGAAAGTGTAGAGTATGATTTTTGTGGGTAGAATTTGTGAGACTCAGTGACTGGAGCTACGTAGAGCAGTTGTGAGAGAAACAGGAGGACAGAAAATGTTTGTAGATTATTCAATCCTCTAACCACTGGATGGGAGAGTAGAAAGGAAGCCTTGGGTTTGGTTTGGACATTTGAAAATGGAGCCTCCCTCTGCAGGAGGCGACCAGGCAGATCAGGGGAAGACGCCACCCCCATCACCCTGCTGCTGCTGCCACTGCTGGTCGCCGTGGCTGCCTGCCCTCAGCCCTTGCAGCCTCTGCGGCTTTGTCTGGAAGGTCAGAAGATGTCCGGTCTATCTGGTCTAATTAGCATATTACCCTTTTATTAGTATAGATGTGTCTGGGAATTTGACTATTCTGGGAACCTGATATAAGAGGAATCATACAATATTTGTTTGCCCTTTTGTGACTGGCTTATTTCACTTAGCGTAGTGTCTTCGAGCTTCATCCATGTTGTAGGATGTGTCACAATTTCCTTCAGTGTTCTTAGAGTGTGACTTAAACACACTTCTTCTTGTCAAGAATACAGCTATTCCACAACCATTGTTAAGTTCTCAAGTTCTGCCACATTAGTTCTACACAGGGAGAGGGGAGATAGAAGACAGGAATTCACTTTTAGTACCTATATCCCATTTACCACAGGCCAGGCGCTGAGTTAGTTGCAAATGCTGCATTTGACTCAGTCTTCACAACAGCTCTGTGAGGTGGGGATTACGGTTTTCCTCATTCTAGAACTGAAGAAACTGAATTTCAGAGAGTTAAGTAGCTCGTACAAGGTCACACCACTTGCAAGTTAACTGAGCCAGGATTCCAGTCCTGATCATCCCCATACCAAGGCTCCCCGTGCTTTTCATGACCCTTCGGTTCTCTAATTCTGTTACTCTAAAGGAGTCAAATCTCTTTTCTAGTCATTTATAGAGCGGTTATTTCTAGAACTCAGGACCTGCATGGAAGTCAGCCAGTGGGCCTTGGAGGCGTTAGAAGGCTGTGCTTATCTCTGCATCTTTGTTCCGTGTTGTGCTTTGAAAGCTTTGAGAGCACTACTGAGTTTTTTAGTTTCATCTCCATTCTGTGACCAATTGTTGGAGAGACCCAAAGTCTGAAGTTTGTGTTGACTTTAGAAAATCATCCTCTGAGGCTCATTTCTGGAATGAGTTTAAAGAAGAAGAGTACCAGCAGCCAGGTTCAGTCTTAGAGTGGGTGCTTGGAAAAGGATAAGTGGTTTTCTGGGGTCATTAGAGTGGATCAGATTACCTTCTAAAGTAATGATGGAAACAAAGAATAAATCAGAGAAACTGTGAAACACCCTGCATTCTTCCTTCAGGCAAGTAATACCATATCTTCGATGACAGATAATGATTTTCTCTCGAATACTGACAGAATTAGAAAATTTCCAGTGGTACATTTAAGTCAGTGGTTCTCAACCTTCCTAATGCCGCAACCCTTTAATACAGTTCCTCATGTTGTGGTGACCCCCAACCATAAAATTATTTTTGTTGCTACTTCATAACTGTAATTTTGCTACTGTTATGAATCGTAATGTAAATATCTGATATGCAGGATGTATTTTCATTGTTACAAATTGAACATAATTAAAGCATAGTGATTAATCACAAAAAAATATGTAATTATATATGTGTTTTTCGATGATCTTAGGCGACCCCTGTGAAAGGGTCGTTTGACGCCCAGATTGAGAACCGCTGATTTAAGTGGTTTAGTGTCCGGGTGATTAGGAAGTGTAGAATCTCTTCTGCTTTATTTCAGGGCTCTTCTCTTGTTCTCACTGCATCCATTTAAGAGCAACTAATTAATGGTCAGTGAAAAATTCCTCATTGTAAAGGTCATGGACAAAGCACATGCCCGGTTGCATTTGCCTACTTAGGGGACTTAAACTGTAATCAGATGTTCAGCTTTATTGTTTTCTTCAAGTGTAAAGGAAAGAACAATGCTCAAGACACAGCTAAGGTATTTTTAAAGCATGCAATTTGTGTGACTCTTGCTGAGTCAGGTGAGTGGGTGATGCTGGCAGAGTTGTAGAAAAAGAACTGACTTCTAGCAAGGAATGAGAACCCACGCTCAACAGAACAGGAGTAGGGCTGAGAATATGCTGAAGGAGAAGGAAGACTGAGTGGTTCGATGTGGGGCAGGTGCCTGAAGAGTGACTCAAAGTGACTAGTTCTGGGGCTCAAAGGGAAATGGACTTGCTCTCTTTACCCGTGGCCTTGAGAGAAGAGCCCAGCCGAGTCTGGGAGTGGAGATAGGGTGGCCTGACAGAACGGACTGACTCCAAAGAATTGCCAGTCGGGGGGAAATAATATTGTGGACGACCTAGGAGAGTCCTCTTAATGTTCTAGACCTACCATGAAATTGCGTACGGTGAGATGATTGTGCTTAAAAACATAGTCTAAATGGATAGCATTTCTATTCCCAAGGTGCACAGTGGTAAAGTCTCGGTGTATTTGAACAAACTCTCAGTCTGTTATTCGTTAGAAGTACCCAGTAGGGGGTTCTTGCTGGCAGACAAGAGAGTCAGGATATGATGTCTTCACAGGACAAAACTGATGCATTTAATTCAACGACAAAACTCTAATGCCAAATCTCAGGGTGGGACAGGGAGCATTGGCAGAAAAGTACCCTTTTTTTTTTTTTACACAACATTTAATCTTTAAAGTTATTCTCTAATTGTCATCACTCAGTTTATAAGTGCAGAAAATGGCTCCTTTAACCGCAATAGGTTCAG